TACCGGACGATTTGTAACCTTTGCCCTTAATCCAGTCGGTTAATTTGTCAGAACTAAAATCCGTAGTATCACCGCAAAGGGGATAACAACATATTTTATAAAGAGAGAAGACGAGGCAAGGTGGTCTTGATGTTCTGTGTTAGTCTAGGCTATTTTGCATACAAAAAATCAAAATACGGGATTTAGCCAAACTGCAAGGGACGATTCGTTTAGCGATTCTAAAAAGAAAAGTTTATATTAACATAGATCTGATAATTTTTCAAGATACCTACAGGATGCCAAGCCAGTGGCGAAGCGTCCATGTGACCATTGTTACCATTGGTAACAGTTAAAAATCTTGAAAATAAATATAGGTACTGTAAAATAACTTCATTTATATGTTTACCAACAGCATTATGAAATAGTACTTCAGTAAATAGCAAATTAGCCGCAAGAAAATAATGTGCCCTATACTGTCTAGTCTAGATTTTGCGAACGCAATGAAGCTGACTCGCCTCGACTTGGTTGCCGGTTGTTACCATGTTCGTTTATGGGTACACTTGGTAGACCGTCGGGGACTGTCGGTACTGATCGCGGTCGCCAGAATGCGTGGGCCGCTGCGACTATAATCTGGGCTTGTTACCATTTTTTGTTTTGGTTACTAACTTCCCACTCGTAAGTAGCCGTTTTGGTTGTCGCTGCGTAATCGATCAACTACGTAAAAAGTCATTCTCCTTATATAATTTTGAAGAAAAAAAATTGAGATAATCCGGTAGGTTGGTATAGTGAAAACTCTCGGTTATGTGGCTGCAAGAAAAACAGATTGTATTGTTGGCCATGTCTTCTGTTTTCTACAGAAAAAAATGGGTGGACCAGCAGCGGAGTCAACGATTGAAATAGTCTTAGGGTTCTAAAGAGGAGACATGAAATTTCTCCGTTACATATGAGATGTGTAGCCAATTTGATTTAGTTTGGCAAAACAAGAATCGAAAGTTGTCTTAACCAAGCTTTTAGGCAGCCCTCTTATAGATGCCGTATGTTTCTTGGCTAAACAAGAATTACCACAATAGTGGAAATTACAGAGAATTGCCTAAAAGATCAAACATTTAAGCATCTAGAAACGTCAACTGTTATTTCGGAAGGCTTGGATTAGTCATGGCATAAGACGATGAGGTATATCAAGTGCCGCAGACGCCCAGTCCAGCAATGTTTACCTTAATTTAAAAAAGTTTAAATAAAATACCTATAACAAGCAAAAACTTATATTTGGTAGGTTCAAAATAAACTTTTTTTAATAAGATCTTTCACATCTGGTTTTGGTAACAGTTTGGGAAAAGTCACGCGTCGCCACTGTGTCAAGCTTTTCTGACATTCCAATTTTGGTAAGACTCTCGATCAGTTACGAGGGTTGTTTCAAAAATGAGGTTTCCACATTTTCTCCATTCTTTTCGACGTATTTTTTTTTTTTTTTTTTTTTATACTCCAACTACCACGAAGGCCTAAGGCCTAAGCACCCATTGGGTACCGTGGGGCTATGGGGGATACATGGGAAAGGGGGGACGCCACACGGACTCTGGCGAGGGAACACGTGTGCATGCAACATGCACACATTCTGGCTCCGCCTACGAGAACCGCCGGGTGGTACCTCCGCGTTCGACAGTCAGAGACCATCTACCACCTACGGACAATTACAACATCCATGGCCAAGAGAAACATTTCTCCTGGGACGGGACTCGAACCCGCACAGCGCACGGCGGCTGATCAGGAGACCGAAGAGTCTACTACTGCGGCCACCGCTGCTGCCTAAAACAAACACACAACATCCATGGCGAAGGCGAGATTCGAACTCGCGGCCCGGCCGGCCGGCTGATCAGTAGCACGACACTCTGACCCACGCGGCCAACCGAGGTCCCACTTTTGCACCTCCGCCTCAAAGAAGTACCGTCAGCCCGTTTAGAAAACTTGGTAACTACTTCTTGCAACTCCTCGTTCGTCTCTAACCGTTGACCGCCTAGGTGCTCTTCAAATTTCGGTAACGCTATGTCATTGCAATGACTTCCCAGTCAAATAGCTCGATTGTCCTTTGTTTATTGTGAGACATGAGGATGCGCACTGTTTTAGTGCAGTCTTACCCTTTGAGGGTTTTCGTTATATCCGAGGTGGGAAAGTTTGAAATAAACACCCTGTACATACTTCACTCAATTTCTATGAGTGGTAACGTTTTTGCGTGCGAAAATCGGATGATCGCACGAATTTCGCTCCTGGCGGTGACGTCAAAGAAGGCTTCTATTGCGCATGGCTGTCAGGCCTGAACTGAGCGTAGCCAGTAGGCGCTTCTTGTTAGGATCGGTGGTGGGGAAGTCGAAAAAACATGAGGTGTCACCAGATTTCTCCTAGCATAACGCGCGGCAAAGATACAGCGTTGGGAACAACTGATGAAAATGTCTGAGGTTAGGCTTGTTTTTGTCCACCAGTTAAGTATAATTTCATCTAGTCATCACAAAACATCAAGAGGGTATCAAGGAGTTAACACAAAACATGTAGTTCTATCAGCCATTGTGCTGCTCCAAATGGGCAGTGGGCGTCTGCTCACTTTTAGCATGATATTTATAGGTTCTAAAAAAGGATGATAAGAGTCATTTTTCGCCCATCAGCAAATAGATATGACATATATATTTATGAAGAGTATACTCCATAACAAAGAAGAAAACATACTATTTCAAATGAAAACTGAAATTCGCGATTATCTGAGTGTTATATGTGTTTATTAAACAATAATAAAAGATAATCAGTTTTCATACACTTAATATATTCTTTACTAATCTTCTTCCTGGTCTTCTTCATTCGAATCACTATCAGACCATCCATCGTTCAGTATCATCAGAGGTACTTGTTGAAGTAAGAACTCTTGTTGTCCTGACATAAAATGAAGTGGGAGTCGTTTGGGATTGAGTCACGCGGAATGCATATGATCTGCATTTAGGACACAACTTAGAACCAATCTGCAGATCACAGTTTTTAGATTTTCTAAGTATTGCTATAATGTTTTTGTTCGAGCAGCTACGGAAATCACTGTTTGTTTTTCGCCACGTTTTACAAAAATCTCACTGGCATCCAGGCATTATTGTTTTATCAAGTTTTTCAATAAACGTTGAACGCGTCAGCACAGCACATGTCTGAACACGCAGCGGTTGCAGCGTGACTCACACTCTCCCGCAGCATACATATACAGGGTGTAAACGTTATGGTAGTCATTATTGAAATGGGTAATAGGGGGGGTCCAAACAAGTCAAAAAGTTCATATGACCCATGGTCCAGAAGTCAATAGATTTTTGTCTAAATGGCTTTATAGTTTACAACTTTAAGTGCCTTATATCGACCACAATCTTACTAATTTTTATAATCCAATCTAAAACGTTTTTAAACTGGGTAATTAACAAATAAATGGCATTAAGTTTTTCTAAGTTAAGCCAAAATTTGTAGTTAGTAAGAAAGTAAGTTTCATTAAATTGGGTATTTAAAACACACTTCGTCGCCTGAATGCAGAACTATTGTATGTCCAAATTCTTCACTTTTAAGATTTTAACACGACATTGTAGGTCATAGCCACCTACACTGCATGCAGAGGTATTGTAAGTCCCTGCGCAAGCGTTCCCCCACCACTGGTCTTGAACGATATTAGGCATAAGAACTTGAGGCGCGTCATTTCGCTGCAGAACTACGATTAGAGCAGATCAACACTTACAGAACTACTGTAACGCCAATTCATCAAAAAATATAAGTCCACTTTCACGGACTTGTCATACTTTTTCTCCGGTAAAGCATTGTATGTCCAAAATTTCTCAGAAATGTTAGTCATAACACAAACACGAAAAATAGCTCCCTTGTAAGATTTGCATTTTGTGACTTAGAATACTTCTGCATTCAAGCGACGACTTGACAACACCGCGTCGGTCATTCTTATTGAACCGGCAATCGATCATAGTAGGGGAGCCCAAGCGGAGATTTCGGAATTTACTAAAGCGCGGCAGATGAATATACAGGAGTATACCTTGTACCCATTTAAGTACTTCCACCAAATATGAGCCCCTTATACTTTGAAGTTGAGTCATTAATTTTCAGATAATGATTGTAGAAGGAAGATAAACCAAAATATGTGTGTAAAAATAAAAAAAATGTTACCTTGTTTTATAAAGTATCCTCCCGACAAGTATTTCAGTGCGGACCTGTATTTGATCGTGCGGTCTTGGAGGACCGGCATGCCCTCCCCTGTGAGGTCTTAAGTCACCTGATTCACGAGCCCGTTGTACTACATTAACAAAGGCACGAGGGGTTGGTTGCACTCGATTGGGAAACCGATCCGTATAAATCCGTGATGCCGCGGCAGCATTTTGTAAAGACTCCCCCCCCACCGTAAATAAGAATCATGTCCACAAGTTCAGCATTTTCGTAAACATGTGCCATTTTTTATTTCGGTTGAGCCACGCAACAGACACCACTATTCACTCACGAATTACCGACTGACACATTGACTGAATACAACTGAATAAAATTGTAGTAAAAACATCGTGATAAGCGTTTCAAATTCTTTCGCTTTTTTGTTTCCGATGCGATGAACCGATAAGGCGGATTATATCCGTTGTTGCCAACAACAAAATAATATTATTATTGAGACAGGGCGGTACTCAAACTTCTAAAGGGCTATAAGTTTGTTACTTTAATTTTACCACAAAAATGTTAAAGGAAAAAACATTTCTTTTGATCACTGTTAAAATAAATGACTCAACTTCGAAGTCGATGGTCGACCGTCAAGGATAAAGGATCAGATTAGTAGAAAAAAATTGATTATCTAAAAGTCTCGAGCGGGTCAGATTAAAGTAAGGTGAGTTAGTTTTATGCTAAAACATGTATATTCGACTAATCTGACAATTTGAGAGTGACGCAGAGAAGGGGGAGGGCTACAAAGTTGTAAAAAAACGTCATCTTGACATTCTCGAGCGTGGCTAAATTTTTTTTATTTTGAAGTAATAAAAATTAATCGATAAAGTTTCATGCCTGCAGCTACAGAATGCCTATATTCCCCTCTCCGCGTTTCTATTTCTCTCTCACTCGTTCTCTATCTGTTACTGTTACGCACAAGATTCATTGCATGCATGTGGATTAATGCCCATAATTCAAAAATTATTGATTTTTGCCAAAGGACTATGGATGGAAACAAGTCGATGGAAAGTTAGAAATGATCTGGTTTGCAGGTGATCAATTGCCGAAAGCGTATGAAGATGTAGTTGTAACACCTGATATTTTTGAGGATACTCCAAAATTAGGTATATTTTTTCTCCTATAATTAAAAAAAACTTTATTTATAAGAAAAAATATTACTAAATATTTTAATGAATTTTTGTTACAGATACGCAATCTGAGGATGAAATCGAGCCAGAGGAGGAAGATGATTCTACCGATGAAGATGATGATAAAAAAATACTCAAAAAATATAATTATTTATAATTATTTTTTTATAAATACAAGTATTCTACTTAAAAAAACATGCACTTTTTTATTTGCATGTTAAGTTCAATGATTAGAAAAATAAAATAATTTTTTTTAATTGTCAGATTAGGTGAATCCCTTCAGGTAATCGTCAGATTATGAGAAAGCACGTCTAGGGCATAAAGATGAACCATATATCTTAATCTGACGCGCTTGAGTATTTCAAAATGACGAATTTTTGACACATTCTAATAATGACCGCGAGTTTGCGTCACATCCAAATCGTCAGATTACTATACTAAGTGACATATAAATCCGAACACCCAGTTTAAACGGTTTTATTTTAATAAAAGTTGGTGAATGTATTTATCTTACTGTAAATAACAAGTGAAAAAATGTTCAGCCTTATCAGTTGGACATTCCGGTTTTTATACTGCTTTTTTTTTAATTCACTAACGCTCTAAAAATGAATATTTCAGCCGCAGTAAAAAATCAACGTTGGCGGATTTTGGTTCTTGACATCCTTTACGATCGGTTACGATGCCTAGAGACGGAGACCTGTACGATTTTGTCAACTTAGTGAGTTTGATAGGGGCCGTATAGTGGGACTTCGGGAAGCCGGACTTTCTTTTCGGGCAATTGCAGTTAGAGTGCAAAGAAGTGTAGACACTGTGGTTAGGTGTTGTCAGGCATGGCTTCGAGAAGGCCGTACGCAAAGAGCAAGGGGCACTGGACGCCGCCGTAGAACAACAGACCGTGAAGATCGCCGCCTAAGATTATTGGCCTTAAGGGACCGTTTCTCCACTACCAGGTCCATTGCAAATGAATGATTTGTAGAACACGGAAGACCTATTGGCATGCGAAGTGTTTACCGACGAATGAGAAGTTTTGGCTTGTTTTCGTACCGGCCACACTGGGTCCTCCCTTTAACTCGAGAACACAAACGTAATCGCCTTGAGTGGTGCAGACAACGGTCACTCTGGGATCAGGAATGGAACAGTATTGTCTTTAGTGACGAGTCTCGATTTTGTTTAGGCATGCACGATGGTCGTGCCAGGGTTAGAAGGCGATGTGGTGAAAGGAGGAATCCACAGTTTTTTGTTGAAAGACATGTTCATCACACTGTTGGAGTTATGGTTTGGGGTGCTATAGCTTATGGTTCCAGGTCACCTTTAATCTTCATCAGAGGTAACATGAACGCGCAGCGTTATATCCACGAAGTTCTAGAACCCCATTTTTTACCCTATCTTGACACCCTGGCAGATCCAACTTTCCAACAAGATAATGCCCGACCACATGTTGCAAGAGTCACAATAGACTTCTTTCAACATAATGATGTCACATTGTTAGCATGGCCACCAAGATCTCCCGACTTATCCCCAATTGAGCACGTGTGGGATATGATGGGAAGGAGATTGCTTAATTTGCAACGTCCTCCTCAGACTCTAGAAGCACTTCGAGAGGAGTTGGTGGTTGCCTGGAATGAGATACCACCTGATCAGAAGCATGCCTAGGTGCGTTGGAGAATGCGTAGCACATGAGGGTGCATCCACACATTATTAAAGGTCAAAGGGCTTTAAAGCAGTGCAATCATTTTGATATTTTTATCATTTACTTATTATGCTTCATTAAGTACTTATACAAAATTTTATTAAAATAAAACCATTTAAACTGGGTGTTCGGATTTATATGTCACTTAGTATATATAAGAGCTTTCTTTTAGGTTCACTTAACATCCCCTTTGAAAATCTGATGCGCTCGATCGATTTTTTTTTCATTTTCAACCCTTTCGTACGACCACCCCCATCATGGAAACAATCAAATTAACATACGAACATTTTCCAAAATACGTAGGACATGGATGATATCAATGTCTGACGCGCTCGAGTATGTCCATGCAACAGTTTTTTTTTATATTTATGAAAATCTCTAGCCGCTCCTCCCACCGATGAAAAGGACATTTTTTTCGTTTTATCATCTAAGCTTCGCAATCCAATAGGTCTCTGTGATTTAGCATCGTGGGCTCCCCTACTATCGCATACGGTAACAGTGGTTAGTTATCCTTTTGCATAGTTTTGCGGCGTTGTCAGATTTATTTTACTTTAAAGTCGCTTTTCTCTAAAAAAATGCCGTTTTGACCCCCATGTTATATGAAACTTTTTGCTTCTTTCAACCCCCTCTATCACCCATTTAAATAATGACTATCATAAAGTTTTTAAACGTTTTTAAATAAATACTCATATACAAGCGTATAATGCGAGCATTAAAGTTAATGTGGTTCATGGAACGCTTCATAAATGCACAAAAAGCGCTAAATATTCTATTCCTTGGCAATAATTCCTGAAGCATATTATATTACTTATACTGTAAATATTATATAATGAAAAAATACACTTCTTGAAGTTCACAAATAAATTCAATAATAGTCTGGAATCGAACTTTTTATTTTTGGGTGTTATGGGCCTTATTTAGCACAAAATTTGGTGTCGTGACAGATGGCATTCTAAGCTCAAACGCTTTCGGAGTCAGATTTACAATTACAGCTACTATAATGCTTAGGGTTGTAGGTATACTCATACTCAAATATAGTTTGATGTACAATAAAGGTGTTTTGCATCAATACTGACCTACCTCATTGCATAAAAAATTGTTTGTGGGACGGCCAGCGTTAGTATCGTTCGTCGGAGGAAATATAATAGATATTAATTTTATAATAGCACTTAAATAACAAGTAACCGAGGACAAACATAATGTTGTTATTACATTCTTTGAATATAATCTAATTGGTTGCCTTGAAGGTTTAAAGAACTTTGGCCATCATGCTGTTCTACTCATTGACTTTACTGAATTCAATGTTGTGCGGTGTACGAGCTATAGACGCGATAGACAACGAATAGACTTTTTAGTAGAGCGTACAGGATGTATGGAATCAGGTTTATTTGCCATAATATATACATATAAGATATTTACATTACACGTATTCGTAAATTTCAACATTCGATGCGTGAAACGATATCACGATGTGGCTTGGCGAGTCCAATCCCAACTTTTTTTTTAGTTATGGCAATTTCCTTGCTATTCATCAGCATTACGCCCCAAAATATATCACCAGCTCGAAGTAAAATTGTCCAGGGAAGTCAAAAATAACATTCAAATTGAAATCTGACAACTCGTTCGACTGATATTTAAGTCAAAAGGGTTTTTTCGAAATTTAACACTTGACAATCTGAATGCTTTCCGAAAGAAAAAACGTATAACATTATTTTTCGTATAAGAAAGGGACCAACCTATCCCTTGATATGAATGGAATTTTGTACTCTGGACTTTAAATTTGTCGAATAGGCCTTTAGATCCAATTTTCAACATTTTGGACCAAAATTACGAATCTTGAAAAACGACATTATGTCGATTTTTTGACATTGTATTCGTTTTTTTGTGTCATTATGTAAGTTTTTCTATAAGATGTTAACTTAGCACTGGCTGATCGACACATGGACTCGTTTTGTAGTTGTACGTGTTGCCTAAACGTCATGAGGCTTCAGTTGTCAATGTTTGTCAATGTGATTTAAAACCCGCTTCAGAGGTGGCATTGCTGGAGGTCTAAGCTCTAGGTTGTATACGAGCCCCTTCCCACTTCAGTTGGCCCAACTATTAAAATCTTAGTTTTTTTCTTATCAAACACAAATAATAAAAATGTAGCAGGGTGTTATATAGTAGAAAACACCAACTTTATAATAATCAAATTTGCAGCATAAAAATAACACATGTTGCAATTACAGCATATCAACCTATTTTCATTTCAATGCAAAATAAGTCTATAACGCATAGGTGGCTGTGAAAAATAAAAGGAATGATAATTGTTTTTATTAATCACAGCTGTTTAAAATAGTTTTGGGTACTTAAGGTTTTCAAAATGGGTAGATGAAAGGTTATTAGTGAGAAAATTCGGTTACTGATAATTAAATTTTTTAATTCTGGGAAATCAAACTCAGAAATTGCAACTTTGTTAGACTTATCGCGGTACAGTGTGAGAAATATTGTTAGAAGATATAACGTAACTGGTTCAGTTAATATTAAGCCACGATATGTGAAAAAAAGTAATATCACAAATGCCGACCGAAGAGCATTGAGAAGAATAATCGTGAAAAACAGGCGTGCCAATTATTTACAATTAAGTGCTCTGTGGAGTGACGCTGTTGGAAAGAGAATTTCGAGGTCCACAACTTATAGAGAGGTCCACAAACTGGGATTTAGCACTTGCAAGGTAGGTTTCCTTATAAAAAAAGTGAAGCAAAAACCCTAAAGTTGCACAACTTGTTTACAGGCCAAAGAAAAGCCACTATTAACTCCACTGCAAAAGAAAAATCGGCTTAGATGGGCTAAAGAACATAGACAATGGTGTGCAATACAATGGAGTGAAGAGGCCCGATTCGAAGTTTGTGTTGGTGACAGTCGCAGTAGAGTTATTCGCAAAAAAATGAAGCATTCCTTGTTGACTGTCTGAAGAGAAAAGTGAAATTTTCAGCATCGATTATGGTCTGGGGCAGTACGTCATCAAAGGAGTAGGAAAACTTCATTTTATTGATGGAAATGTGGATACAAACAAATATTTGGCAATTTCAGAAGAATCGCTTTTACCAGTGATGGAAGAATGTTTCACATCCGGCCAAGCTCTTGTGTTTCAGCAAGATGGTGCAGAGTGCCATACCTCAAAAAAGGCTATAAAATGGAGGAAAGAAAATAATGCAGATACCACTTTTGAAATAGGTTTCTAGCAGTCCAGATCTGTCACCTATTGAAACTTTGTAGCACGAGATGAAAAAGGTTTTACGACAACATCCTGGTCGTACAATCACCGAACTAAGACAAAAGCTTCAAGAAATATGGGAGTGCATTCCACACAACATTAAGCCAGCATTTTGGTGTTCAGGAACAGTTCTTTTATCAAATTATTATTATATTACGTATTAAGCAATGTTTACATGAACACACTATCGAATGCCATCT